GAATGGCTCTGCTTACCATGGCGCGCTTACCGTGGTCAAATATTGACTAAAGTTCCAATAAAGCATTGGCTTAGTTCGTACGTATGCTGACTTGCATTTTCACTATTTATTTTCTGCTAATCTGCGTTTCGAAACCTATCTATAACTCAGCACTTGACAATCGCACAAGAAACCCAAATCTTACTCGATTTATAAGACAGTTTTCTCGACCCATTACTTCCCTGACAGTGCGCATTTTAAATCATGGAAATTTATGATCATCAATACCTCCAACGCCTAGCCGGGGAAGAAATCGTGAACGTCTACCACTTACACCAGCCAAAGTACATTTATAAAGGCAATCCTATTTACTACCTGATCGGTAGGTTGGTCTTCCGGCTAAATTTCATTCTTTCTATCGCGTCGCCTGCTCTGTCTTTTAACAGCGCATGACAAATAAACGTATGATTGCCAGTTTGCTGTCCGCATTGTCATTGGTGTGCATGATGATATGCAAGTGTGAGCATAAGCAGCACCATTCTTGTGTATGCAGTTCATTCAGGGCATCGTGTGGACTCCAGTGAAGCATTTTTTGTGATCTATAACGTCCCCCGTGCTATCCTAAGCTATTGAACCAGCGTCTGTTGGCAAGAGCAGAAGCGGTCACAAGTGGGTTACGAATCTGTCGATGAATCTTTACAAAATGACCTTCACAGTTGTAAATTACTCCTGTTTAAGTATGGTCAGATTTGGTTATGCAGCCGCACCTAAGGTAAACAAAGCCCAACCACCTCTAGTGCGGGACCGGTGATAATGGGGGTTTTTACAGATGGGGCCCGGGAACGCACAGGCGACGAGGACAGATAACTGAATGCAAAGGAAAAGCTATTGGGAATGCGCGGTTGCACTATGAATGGTTGGGAAATAGTTGCCCTAACCCATAAACGTAACCCCCAACCATAATTCCCTACCCTAACCCTAGCCCTAAATCCTAGCCCTAACCCTTAACCACAGCCGTAAACCCTAACCCTGGAACATCCAACGCGAAAGTTAGAAGGAGGCCACCGGAGCACCGCCATTGGACTGGAAGAAGTAGACACAGCAACAAAGAAACAGGGCCGCAAACAGACCACACACCGCAACGTAGAGCAACACCATGCCAACGTAATCACACCAACTCAAAATAAATAAGTGGGTTACCAGTATTGTGTCCATCGGGTACGTCTACATAACCATATCTTACCATCTTTTTTGTCTGAAATCAAATTTTTCTAGTATGTTGGGCTATTTTTTGCTTCTACATGCTCAAACGGGACGCTGCCTCGTCGAAAAAAATTTCGATGCTGTTAGGGCACTGCAAATCTCCGCCACTTTCGAAGTTTGTCTTTTCAGACATTGGATCTTTCAGGTACAGATTCCCTGTTTTTCATTTGTACCTATTAAGCAGGTGAGAGGGTGCGAAAGTCTCTCTATGATCTCAATCGCCCCGAATTCGCAGCCTTCATCCTGTCTGCACTGGGGTCAGAAAGGCAGGGTGGGGCACAGACCCCCCAATGTGCTTCGTCATGCAGCAAGTAGAATGCCAATTCCATGGGGAGGCGAGAAACAGTAATTAGCGGGTCCCTGAACTTACCTTCCAGGACAGAGGCTGTCCGGAGTTTTAATGAGTACCTGTTCGCTGATGTAGGCCAGGCGGTCCCCCCCGCGTTGGGATCCAGGTGCGGTCACTCAAGCGCGAACTTCCGCCTGGATCGAAGGTGAAAGGGTGCGTGTAGAGAGACTGCGAACTCGAGGGAAGGGGGCTCAAATATCTTCGTCTGGTAATCATTTGCTGTTCTGCTTCCTCTTCACTTCGCGAGGTAAGATTTCCGTCTGTCCAGGGCTCTAGCAGAAACATTTGTGTGTATATGCATATGCTACTGCCCTCATTTAATTAGCGTTACCAGCTGTGCGTAAGTTTTTCAAGCGTCAGTACAGCAACCGCAGAGTTAGGCGAAAGTGCTTCGGTGGCCCTTCTGCAGTTATGGTGGAGAACCTTACTCGTGAAAACTTTTTTGCCATCCCTCAAGTCAGCCAACCGACTCATCAAAAGTTATTAAACTGCAAAGTGCAAACTACTTGGCTGTCCCGCCTCACCACAGCCCCCTTTTATCAACTGTCCGCTTATTTTTGAAAATGCACTTAGTCCCACATTAAGTAGGATGATAGATATAAAAAAATCAAGGCGTCAGTGCGGAACATCGAACGCCCCTCACTCCAAACACCGTCGCCGATCAGAAGAAAGTTTAATCAACCGATAGTTTTATGCGCAAGCGTAAGTCTGTTTGGTCAGATCGACCAGGGGGTGGGTTGTTCGGATGAGGTGATGGGGAGAAGATGGGGGATAGTTACCCTGACTGACCGACAGATGCACCAATTTACCTTGCTTAATTTCCGGGGAAATTAATGCGCGAACTTTGAGTAAATCTGTCGGAACAGACCTTCTCAGGCACGGTCCGAAATTTGATATGAATATTTGGGCTGAAATCCATCAGCTACTGCCGAAAAAACCGCGTAATATTCACAAACCGCCAACGGGCGGTCAGTAGTATAAAACTGTGTAATTATTTGCCATACTAACAGCACAGGTCCGTACTGAAAGATTTACTGCAAGTTCGCGCATTAATTTCCCCAGAAATCAAACAAGGCAAGTTGAAACTGGAGTTCCTATACCAGAAAACACACGAGGAAAGCTGGGCGATCCACTGATGAGTCGAGCCCCTCGCAGCTGCGTCAGGCAGCGGCACAAGCTCGGTGAAACACGCGTTTCTGGGCTTTTAGCTAATATCTGTGCTGTTGGTGCGATAAATAATTACACAATTCTAGACGCACTAACTGCCCATTCGTTCTGGGTGACGCCACACCGCCTGACTCCAAAGTTCCCATCCGCAGAACCAGAAACTCCTGCTGAACGCGACAGCCAAGCCCCAGTAATCGTTCTGCACGAGGAAGAAGTGAGATGGGGATGCCCGCTTTGACTGGAGGGCTTTTTGTTTGAAGCCTGGACCACGTGTATTCGAGAAGGGAAATCAAGTCCGGTCAGAACTTGTAACCTTTCTCATTGCCAGTCATTTTAACCTGGCCCCGCCACTGGATTATGGGGGGGCGGGGGGGGAGGGCTAGCGAAAGATGCTAAGATCGGTGCAGGGTAGATGATCATCGCTATAATCCAGCTCGTGAATAAGTCACTCCAGACACTTACATGCGTTCGCTTCTGAAACCAGTCTCTTCAGTTAGCCTGGTTTATCACTACTTCACCTCTCCCAGGAAGAGTGGTTGAAGCAGAGGTAATCCAGGTAAAGCGAACAAAATGGCTACAATCGGCGGTCTAAATCTTATGAAAATGCACATTTGATGTCCCTGCGTTTGCCTTGTTTAAGTTTACCAATGAGTTTGACCCCGGCATATAAGGAACACCTAGCAGAGCAATGGCGGTAATTCAATTCAAAAGCTGCACACCAAATGGGCGTGATCTGCTCAAGCAACTGATCGTAATTTCTCGACAAATGGACCCAAAATCAACGTATTCGACTATGCCTTGCCGCCGTTTGTCGTATATGCAGGGACTTTACAAGTCTTAAAGACACCAAAATGATTATATTCCAATAAAAAACTTCCCAGCAAAAGTCACTTAAATGATTATAGGTTAGTGAGAACATCACTGTAAACAGAAAACGACAGTGATTTGGCCGACTTAAAATTGGTTTCTTATTTCACGTTAATCACTAATAATAATAATAACAGCAACAATAATAAGAACACTCCGGACGTAGGATAGAAATAACCCGCCGGATAACTCTTTAACCCATAATCGATTAATTATCCTATACTAAGCCTTAAAACCACTCACATGACTATGACAGTTTGACATTCGTTCCCGACTATGTCCACCGTTTGCTCCACAACAGGGACGGTGAACTTCACATGAATTCGTTTATAGTGGTAGTAGACTTGCATCTCATCTACTGCCGTCCCTCCTCCTCCCCCACCCAGATCCAGTGTTAAGACAGAGACAAGAATACCGGAGGTGGGGGGGGGCGCAGGTGGGTGGCGCGGCCGAGTCCGCACCTAGGCGTGCCGTCACACTCCATGGTCCACAAGTTACAGCTGACTAGGGCTTTGCATGAGAAAAAAAGGGGACGACTCGGATCCCAACCGGCGCGGCATGAGCCTGCACCTGGTCGTGCCGTCACGCCCACCAGAATTGACACTTGTTGCGGGTGGACATCCACAATAATGCTTCTCCCCCAGCAACGCATCAACCGCGTGGTTAGTTTTAGGGACAACATATAGTCATAAGCTAGTATAAACGACACACCGAAAAGAGTATGCTCATCTTTTCGGGTAAGCACGGCCTGCTTCGCGCAGGGGGATTAGATTAGAAGATTGATGAACGAAGCACGACCTACTTAGACAAGTATAGTAGCCATTATTTGCATGTCGTATGTACTTGGGTCCTTCGTCCTGCCGTTACCAAAAATGTGCCCTAAAAAGGCTGATTTACAGTTTTCACACAGTTGAGCGTGTCTGCTAGGGTTTATAGATGTCACTGAAACATAACAAGCAACAGCAACAGGGCCCTCGCCCTCAACTTATCCTTCCACTCACGCGAGCTCGTTCAGTCTGACGAATCCGAAAGTTTATTCACTTTTGGACAACCCAACGGGCATCCGAACAGATAGTTGGGCAACTCTCGTAGTCCAAGGTCCAAGAACTAACTGCAGATCCGGCCACGGAGGTGTCTTCTTGAAAAGAGGGTTCAAAATGCTGTTCCCTACAAAAAAGTGAAGAAGAAGAAGAAGAAGAAGAAGAAGAAGAAGAAGAAGAAGAAGAAGAAGAAGAAGAAGAAGAAGAAGAAGAAGTGAGGACGAGCAGCGGAGCATTCAGTTTATTGTCCTGAGCTTCCAGACTCGTGCGGTAGTCCGTCGTCAGAGGTAGTAGCAGCAACAGAACAGGCGACAGTTATAGGGCATGTAGGCCAATCATCGACCGACGACGCAAGACTGTATGTGACTGCGCAGGGCTCCGTACGCCGGCCACAGATCGATAAGTCGACTGACTGAGTTCTCATCCGAGGTCCAGGTTTCAATCAATTCTCGGCCTGTTTTATTTCTAGCGTGGACGACTATCTTGGTGGCTGCGAAGTTAAACTCACGATGCATTTCGCAGGTGTAGGCGGCCACTTGGGATAATTCATCGTCACGTCGCGCAGCCAGCTTATGTTCGTGTATGCGCGATCCGAACATGCGTCCAGTCTGTCCTGTGTAATTACAAGGACAATTTTGACACGGAATGCAAAATACTACCCCAGATTTCTTCCAGGGGATTTCAGTATCAGTATCAGTATATTTCAGCGAAAGTAGGTGTGTACCTTTGAAATCCCTATTGGTTACATGCAGAGGATATATATGGAGGAAATGGAAAGGAAGTAACATGAAAGAAATGCGAGGGGAATAGCAAAAACTGTACAGATGAACACAGAATGTCATGCGTTAACAGAGTTTAGAGGCAAATTAACTTGCTTTGTTGATCAAAATACAGCAGACTGTTGAGGCACATTTAAGATACGGGAAAAGAAGTAAAATTGTTTAGTCTACAGGCATCATGGTGAATGCGAACAGCGGTGTGCGACGTGGCCCAAGCTTGATAAATTACTTAAACATATATTACTTAGATGTTTGTAGTAGCATCGTTATAACACTAAATTGTCAGCGTTGGCTGTCAAGGTGGCCGTAGTCCGGTGTTATTGTGGTGCACGCTACAATGCTAATCTAGTCTCCATTTAAAAGTATCTACCGAGCCTGACATAACAACATCCTCAGACAAGGCATTCCAAGCTGCAACCACTCTGTTGGAGAAGAAGAACTTTCGGGTGTCTAGCCGGGCACCAGCCACACGCAATTTGAATGGATGGCCTCTCAGGTTAGTCGTAGTCGTCAACTCGAAGAAGTCTCCAAACGTGAGGCAGCAGCCCTGATTGCGCACGATGCGGAAAGCTTGTATCAGGTCCCCACGTAGCTGTCTGTAACTCAAAGGAAAGAGGTCAAGATTAGCTAATCGCGTTTCGTAGGGTAGTGACCACTGCCCAGATACAAGTTTCGTTGCCCGCCGTTGAACTTTCTCGAGTATGCCCAAGTCTTTAGCGGTCCAGGGTCGCCATGCTTGGATAGCAAACTCCAGATGCGGTCGCACAAAAGTTTGAAAGACCTTGGCGAAGCAGTTTTCATCATAGGAGGAGAACGCCCGTTTGACAAGGTATAGCATGGACATCGCCGACTTGGCCACCTTTGAACATTGCAGCGAAGGCTTAAGCGAGGTTGTGATCCATACACCCAAGTCCTTCTGGGCGTCGACTTCTTGCAGTACTTTGCCACTCAGACGGTAGACCGTGTGGTTAGGAGAACTGGTTCTGCCGACGCGTAGGAAAGTACACTTGTTTACGTTAAACGGTAGAAGCCAGTCTTTCGACCATTGCTCGAGGTGGTCCAGATTTGTCTGCAGTCGCGCCTCGTCAACTTCGCTTCGTATGGTACTCCAGATCTTTATGTCATCGGCAAACATTGCGACATCGCAATTCAGTTCGTTTGCGCAGTCATTGACGTGTACGAGGAACAGTGTAGGGCCAAGAACAGAGCCTTGGGAACACCACTCTTAACGGCAACCTCGGCAGATTGTTGGTCACCGACGTGGACGGCTTGAGAGCGGCCGATTAAAAAGCTACGAATCCACATCAGAAGCTTACCTCGCAATCCTGCACGGCTAAGTTTGTATAGAAGGCGGTGGTGAGGCACACTATCGAAGGCCTTTTTAAAGTCGATATAGATGGCATGCAACATATCTCCTCTATAAACAGCCCTAGTTCAGTGTTCCAGACAGTAGAGCAGGTTTGTCACACAGGATCAGCCTTTACGGAATCCATGCTGGTACTCGGAAAGCAAATGATTTTGCTCAAGGAACTGCATTAATTGTTGTTTTATTATCTTCTCCATAATCTTACAGCAAATGGAGGTGAGGGTGACCGGTCTGTAATTGTTCGCAGAGACCCGACTTCCGCCCTTGTACAGCGGCGTAATCCACGCCGACTTCCAGTCGGATGGCAGATATCCGGTCTCGAAGGATGTATGGAAAAGCATGGAGAGTGGCTTAGACAACTCACCGGCGAGTTCCTTCAAAATCTTCGCCGGAATCTCATCGGGACCTGGTGATTTGGATTCCTTTAGCCTCAGCAACTCCGTCAGAACCATACCCTCAGTGAACTGGACGGTCTCTATAATTGGGGTGTCTTCGAAGGATTGAGGGGCCGAAGGGTTGAATCCTGTTTCGCTACTAAAAACAGACCGAAAAAATTCTGAAAGGTGATCAGCTTTCGCCCTGTCGTCAGTGAGATGTTCGCCTTCAGCAGTCCTTAGCAGGGGTATTGGGTCCTTGTTCCGCGTGCACTGCCTAATGTAACCGTAGAATAATTTAGGGTTCTCCGCGGCACGGTTAAGCAGATCCCGTTCGAATTCGCATCTAGTTTTGAGGATAAGGCCCATGACTCGATTTGTTTGAATTTCGTACGCGCATATAGATGTGGGGCTCCTGTCAGAAAGCGATTTTTTTCACAGCCGTCGTTTTTTATTCACTTCATTCTTCAAGGCTTGCGTAAGCCATCGAGGTCTGTTAGTTAACCTCTTCCGTGAAAGCGGACAGTGGTTTACGCTCAGCTCGTGCAGAATTTCTCGGAACCGTTGCCAGTCTTCGAGTATGCTCCCAACAAATATGGACTCCCACTCAATGCGTGAAATTTCAGCCCTCATTTAACCAGTTCTTAATTTTCATGACCTTGCTGCGCATGGCGGCTTTGGGCCGGTGTGCAAATTTCGTAACATGTCCTCCTGTACTGCGGATGCCGATCCTGCCGACTTCAATGAAGCCCTGGAAGCTATGCTTGTGAGAAATAAACATTCGGCGACATGAAACACACCATCCGACAACGTGTTACCTTCTTGCTGATAACACACAGACCAAACAAATCTATTTCGTAGAGTGAGCCAATGGCTATGGGGGAACTGAGGAGGGGCGACGTAATAATAATTCTACCTGCTGACAAGGGACGACCAACCGTCATGATGAATCGAGAAGACTATAATGAAGAAGTTAAAGCCATTCTTGATGACAGTGAATTTTACAGACCAGCACAGAACTCAAAAGCCAAACCAATGGCAGATCGGCTGAGTAAACTGCTTAGAGAATGTCGACATAAGGATGTGATCATGGAGAATGAATGGCATCAAATGAAGCCAACTAACACCTCTCTAGCTCGGTTCTATGGTCTGCCAAAAATCCATAAAGCCAATGTCTCACTTCGGCCAATCGTTGGCCTAAAAGGCAGCTCCACCTACGATTTGGCAAATGGAATGTACTCAAAACTGAAGTTCCTCCAAGGCAATTCGACTTCCTCAGTTCGATCAGCCTCTTAATTCCTCATAGATCTCCGAGGTCGGAGGATTCAATCGGACGAAATCATGGTCTCGTTCGATGTGACGTCGTTATTCACATCCATCCCACCAAAGTTGGCCCGCGAAGTCTTGCGCAAGAGACTTGAAGAGGCGAACGACAAGACTCAGAATGCACTCAAAAATGAGCACTTCATGAGGCTGTTTGAATTCTGCCAACAAACTGTCTTCACTTTTGCGGAAGAGACCTATGAACAGATCAAGGGAACTCCAATGGGCTCACCGGTCTCCAGTTTAGTGCCAGAACTGGTCCTACAGGAGTTGGAAAACATTGCCTTCATCTCGCATGAACCAGTATTTTGGCGGCGTTACGTAGACGAAACGCTCTTCATCGTAAAAAAGGACATGCTACAACATTTCCACAGCCTGCTCAACCCAGACTTCCCAGGTATAACATTCACGAGGGAAGAAGAACTGGTTCATGCTGGATGAAGGCAATGTTTTCCAACTCCTGTAGGACCAGTTCTGGCACTAAACCGGAGACCAGTGAGCCCATTGGAGTGACTGCTTTGGCTTTTGAGTTCTGTGCTGGTCTGTAAAATTCACTGTCATCAAGAATGGCTTTAACTTCTTCATTATAGTCTTCTCGATTCATCATGACGGTTGGTCGTCCCTTGTCAGCAGGTAGAATTATTATTACGTCGCCCCTCCTCAGTTCCCCCATAGCCATTGGCTCACTCTACGAAATAGATTTGTTTGGTCTGTGTGTTATCAGCAAGAAGGTAACACGTTGTCGGATGGTGTGTTTCATGTCGCCGAATGTTTATTTCTCACAAGCATAGCTTCCAGGGCTTCATTGAAGTCGGCAGGATCGGCATCCGCAGTACAGGAGGACATGTTACGAAATTTGCACACCGGCCCAAAGCCGCCATGCGCAGCAAGGTCATGAAAATTAAGAACTGGTTAAATCCCCGGGAGAAATCTGGGGTAGTATTTTGCATTCCGTGTCAAAATTGTCCTTGTAATTACACAGGACAGACTGGACGCATGTTCGGATCGCGCATACACGAACATAAGCTGGCTGCGCGACGTGACGATGAATTATCCCAAGTGGCCGC